ATACAAACTCAACAGGTTATATTTAGGACTATATATTATTATGCGTGCAATAACAAGCATTGAAAAAGGAGGCCATACATTTGACAAGCATGGAGAATGGTATATGGGAGGGTTTAGAAGGAAGAAAGGGAAGAGGGAAATGTTGTAATTTTATTATAAACTCAAAAATAAAAGAAAATTATATAAAATCATTAAATATAAATAGATAGGTACTATGTTAAGATTCCACCTCACCCTGAATCAGAATGCTAACATTGATACTGGGATTTGAGTATGCAACAGTACCTTTCTTGGTCTAGATGGGCTTCACTCAAGAACCAGGGATGCTGAGTGCTTCTGGTCACCCAAGATTGAGCTAGAATGCTTCCAAATTCATTATACTGCATCCATGAAAATTAAGACATGGACTCCAGTGGTGATAAGCAAAGAGAATGTAAGCTTTCTTAAGAAGAAGCATAGAAAAGCAAGAAATGGAAGAAAAGTGAGAAATATATAAGACGAAACAAACTCCCTAGAGTTGAAAGTACTCCCCAGAGAAGAAAAAGCCAGTGAACATCCTTGTCTAGTTTGTACAGAGCCATGAAAGCCACTGGGTGTACTGGTTAGTTTTCTGTCAACTTCACAGAAGCTATTTATCAGAAAGGAGAAAGTCTCAATTAAGAAAATGTCTCTGTAAACTTGCAGTTTTTTTAATTTATTTATTTATTAAAGATTTCTGCCTCCTCCCCGCCACCACCTCCCATTTCCCTCCCCCTCCCCTGATCAAATCCCCCTCCCTCATCAGCCCGAAGAGCAATCAGGGTTCCCTGACCTGTGGGAAGTCCAAGGACCACCCACCTCCATCCAAGTCTAGTACTGTGAGTCATTCTAGTTCCAGCTACATATGAACAGCAAACACTAGGAGCCTGGTAAGCTATGCACTCACCCAAACTGCAAGTTTACAGAGGACAATCACCAGGAACCAAACATGAATACCAAGCTGCAGGCATGACAAGCTCATGCACCTGAGAAACTTTCAAATAGACACAGGAAGGAAAATGGCGAGAGGAACTCACGAATTTTTGTTGTTGTTGTTTTGTTGTGGTTGAGAAAAGGGCAAACAGAAGTGGCAGAGGTGAGCAAGGCAGTGGTGGCGCACACCTTTAATCCCAGCACCAGGAAGGCAAAGACAAGTGAGTCTCTGAGTATAAGTCCAGTCTGATTTATAGAGCCAAGGCTACACAGATAAATGCTGTCTCAAAAGAAAAACAAACAAAAGAAACAGAAACAAAAAGAATGTGGCAGAAAGAAAATGAGCGTGTAAAGTCATAACTCCTTATCGCTCAGCCAATGAGGAAAAGGAGGGAGGGACTTTTGTTAGAGTTATAAAAAACTATTCCCTGCACCCAAGCACTGTATCTGCCATTCTAGACTGGCCCCTAGCTTTACAACAGCATAAACTGCCTCCCTTGCACTACTCTTGAGTATCCAGTGTTCTTATTATGAAGAGAGGGTCCACATATCTCTCATTCGCTAAGGGTGGAAATATAAGTTAGTCCAACAACTAGGGAAACCTGTAGAGAGGTTCCTCAAAAAAATAATAGATAAAAGCAGAACTTCTATAATAATCCAGAATAAGAATAAACCATTATGGTCATTTTCAGTTTGAAGTGCATTTAGAGCTCATCAGTTGATGACAGATAAGCCAAAGACACTAGGCTACACTCCTATCTTTCCTAGCTAGCAGCTGCCACTTAGGGTGCTTTTTAGTTTACTTTCCTGTTAAAAAGTTACAGTCTGCTACATTGCTAAGCCCATGTATCATGCAAGACCAGAAGGATGGGGATTTATTGTGGGGACTGTGGTAGGTCACTCACTGGGAGAGAGTGTAAATTGTGGGAGAAAGAGGGAAGGAATTTCCTTGTGATTAGGGATGGCAAACACCACTATTTTGCACCAAATGGGTGGCCAGCCATTCCTTGACAATGCCTGACTTTGCAATGTCAAAAACGTGAGTGCTTCACTTTCTAAAAACATTTTGATTCTTCAAAAATTTCATAACATGCATAGTATGAAGTAAAGATCATCGCTTTTTACATTTATCTATACTACTCCTGGTTATATAGATGAATGAATCAAATCAACATACATATAGTTGCATTCCTATATTTTTCCCTTTTCCATACTTCTACTCTTCCCAGTTCCTTCCCCACCTTCTCTCCCATCCAGATCCACTCCCTTTCTGTTTTGTTAGAAAGGAAGAGGCTTCTAAAGAGATGATAAAATATAAGATGAAGAAAGAAACCATCACATTGAAACTGGACAAAGCAAACCAATAGAAGAAAAAGAGCTCAAGAGAAGGCACAAGAACCAGAGACCCACTCATTCACATACTCAGGAGTCCAAAAAAAAAAAAAAACACTAAACTGGAATCTGTTATATTATCTCAGAGGACCTGGTGGCCCTGCAGGCCCTGTGTTTGCTACTTCAGTCTCTGTGAGTTCATATGAGCTTTGTTCATGTTGACTTAGAGGGCCTTGTTCTCCTGGTGTCCTCCATTTCCTCTGACTCCTGTATTCTTTCTGATTCCTCTTCCATAGGATTTCCTGAGCTCTGAGGGGTGGGATTTGATGGAGACATCCCATTTTGAGCTATGTATCCAAAAGTGTGTCTGATTGTGGGTCTCTTTATATGTTCCCATCTGATGTAGGATGAAGCTTCTCTAATGATAGCTCACTAAGGCACTGGTCTATGATTATAGAAAAATATCATCAAAATCATTTTATAAATACTGTTTTTTTTAAACCAGTAGAATTTGTTTTTAACTCTACCATCCAGTCTTGGTTCTTGGTCAGGTGTGAGGTCCATCTCACGGAGACAATGGTTTGCAATTCCACAGCTTTGTGCCTCCATTGCCTTAGCATATTCTTCATACAGGACAACACCAAAGATCAAAGGGTTTGTGGTAGAATTTGTGTTTACTTTTCTCTCTTGGTAGCTTGCAGAGTACTTTCCTGTACTGAAGACACTAGAACATAGGAGTGAAGGCTCTGTGTGTAGCCACTAGTTTGACTTTTCCATGCTCAATCAATTGTGTGGGTGTTGTTTTTAGTAATGGGGCCTTGCTGTCTGTCAGTTTATGGGCAGTTATGCACCTGTTGTCTTAGCACCAGTCTGGGTTGTTTGGGGATTTTCATGAAACCTCTTGGGCCAAAAACTCAAATAGGTGTAACCCAGCCCTGCTACTGGAAGCTTCATTTGGTGACAAGAGATGGCCAGTTGAGACTCTGATTTCCCCATTAACTGGAAGCTAAATAGGATATTCATCATATACTTTAGGAAGTTTTTACTGTACTAGGTTTCCATACCAACTCTCTAGTGGCCCTCATTTTCTAACTGTCTCTCCCAGCATTCCATCACCCTCCGCAGCTGACCCTCACATTCCAGTCCCCTTATTTCTTTCCCATCCCCTCCACCTTTAGTCCACTCTTACGATCTATTTGATTTTCCCATTCCAAGGAAGATACATGTGCCCCATCCCTATCCCTGTCACTTCCCCTATACCTAACCTTTTTAATTCTGTGGATTGTATCTTGGTTAGATATGTGTTTGAATATAAATGGCCCTGTAGACTCATGTGTTTGAATGTTTACCCCAAAAGGAGTGGCACTATTAGAAGGTATGGCATTGATGGAGCAGGTATGACCTTGTTGGAGGAAGTGTGCCACTGTGAGGGTGGGCTTTGACGTCTCAGGAATTCAAGCTAGGCCTAAAGTAACATTCATTTCTGCTTCCTGAAGATCAATATGTAGAACTCTCAGCCCCTTCTTCAGCACAACATCTGCCTGCATTGTATGCTTTCTGCCATGATGATAATAAACTGCATCTCTGAAACTAATTGTAAGCCATCCCCAATGAAATGTTTTTCCTTATAAGAGTTTCCATATTCATGGTGTCTTTTCACAGCAATTAAACCCTAACAAGATAGTTATCATTTATATAACAGCTAATGAGCACATATAAGTAAATACATACCATATTTTTCTTTCTGAAACTGGGTACCTTACTTAGGATGGCTTTTTTCTAGTACCATCCATATGCCTGCAAATTTCATGATATAATTTTTAATGGTTGAGTAATACTCCATTGTGTAAATGTAGCAATTTACCCATTCCTCTGTTGAGGGACATCTAGGTTGTATCTAATTTCTGGCTATTGTTAAAAGGTGTTGAAGGAAGACACTTGTTGTTTCCTGGCCGCTTAGCTCTGAAATAATCACACAGAAACTGTATTATTTAAATCACGGTTTGGCCCATTAGCTCTAGCTTCTTATTGACTAACTGTGACATCTTAATTTAACCCATTTCTATTAATCTGTATATCACAGATTACCAGCAAAATTTTGGCATAGACACTCTGGCGGTGGCTCCATTGCTTCTCTCTGGCTCTGCCCTTCTTTCTCCCAGCATTCAGTTTAGTTTTCCCCATGTAGCTCTGTTCTGCCCTTGCCATGGGCTTAAAACAGTTCTTTATTCATTAACAAATAAAAGCAACACAGAGACAGAAGGACATCCCACACCATCAAGTCAGAAATTTTTTTCAGTCTGTAGATTTCAAAGAGGTAAGAGCTCTCTATTGGCTTGGAAGCTTTGCTTTTCCGATCTTCAGGTTGAACCCCAATATCTTTCTCTGGGTCTTTAATAATTATGCTACATAAAGCTGCAATGAACATGACTAAGCAAGTGTCCTTATGGTAGGATGGAGCATCCTGAATGGGAAGCTCTGTCAACCAATCATATCTAGTTAAGGCATGGCTACCTGGCTCCCAGAAAGAAAAACTGGGAGGACCCAGATGCATGCTTTCTCTTGCTCTCGCTCTCTGTACAGCTCCAACTGGACAGATAGGAAGTCGGACCTCCCACTCTTGTAGCGTGAGTTTCCCCTAATAACCACTAAAATATAATTGTTATTCTCGAGCTGGCCTGGTTATTTATTGTACCAACCTATTTCAAAACACCTGGTGCCCAACTTGGGGCTCAAACCTATGGCCCTGAAATTAATAGTCTCATGCTCTACCCACTGAGCTAGCTGGGCTTTAAAAAATTCGAGGGACCCTGGATGTTTGAATACTGACAGATAGAAACAATTTACAAAACAATAAGGATCAGCAAGAAAATCGAATAAGTTCTATAATTAAAATTATTCAACACACACAGACACACACACACACACACATATATATATATATTCATATATATATGTGAATGTATTTACATTTGTAAATATATAGAGCTGGTTTTGGAGTTGGACTCTGGCTCAGTCCCTCTCTAATTCCAAGCTGTTGTTAAGAGAAAACCCAGAGTTTCTGTCTCATGTCAAGAGCCATGATATGGGACAGAAGTAAAAAATAATTTATAAAACTTCTTTGCCTTTCTTCATATCTATTTTTGTCTTTATCATACCTTTCATTGAATATATATATATATATATATATATATATATATATATATAGAGAGAGAGAGAGAGAGAGAGAGAGAATGCTTAAGTTTTCCATAATGAACAATAAATTTCCCTGCAATAATCTTTGAAGTTTCCAGGAAGAAGATGGGGCCCCATAACAACAACTCCACCATATCATGATATGACGTCATGATACTGCTAGCGCTACTACAAGATCTCTTTTGGGTACCAGCTGCACAAGAAGGTTCCAACATGGCTACCTGAAATGAAATGTGCATCATTTACAACATTCTGGCGAGACCTCCACAAAATACTCAGAGACGATTTGCAATTTTACCAGACATTAATCTTGGAATTTAACCATCATTTACTTTCACAGGATCCCCTAAAAAGAACATCGCCCCCATGACAGCTGGAAGAAATTTTGGAGGACAACGTTCCCTCTCCCAGCAAAGTTTGCCCTCAGGCTTAGAGACATCATTTAGGGGTTGATTATAACTGGTATATGGTTGAGGGATGGGGAGGAATTTTATAGTCTCAGGGATCTTTAAAAAAGGGGATAATTGGATGATGGGATAATAGATTGGTACTTGTGAGTCATTGTTTTTAGACAATTATATTAGTATAGATTCTTGTATATTGATACAAAGTTTAAATTATATTGAATATTGTATGCATGTATGCTTCTACCTCTGTTTAAAACATTGTTTATGTATTGATATATATTTACCATATATTGCAGTATACATTACTACCTCTGATCAAGATACATTGTTTACATTTGAAGGTCATTGTCCTCATTTATTGCACAGTTGTTTATTGTCTTAGTCTTTAAGTTAGATAGGTATTGAGAATTATAGATCAATAGTCATCTATGTTTGTCATATTTATATTTAGATTAAACAGGTATCTTTAGATACATAAAGATTATATTCAGTATAGATAGATAATCTTCAACCTTCAAAGAGCTGTAAAAAATGGCCTTTAATCTAACTTAGAGTTTTGTGGTAATGAGACACAATGGGTCCTGACAACAGCCATATATTCCTGAGAGAATGTTGAGCACCAAAGACACTCCACCTGGAGCCTTTCTTCTTGGCAGAACTGGCCTTTGGGCAAAAAAAATGCCCATACCTCAACCACTGGCAGAGATACACAGTATCCATAAATGGATAAAACAGGAATGTCATATTCTGCCTAGACAGGGTAAGATAGTTTTGAAAAAGTTTCTTGCCTTTGAAAATGGTCTGAAAAAGGCTAAGTTAGGCCTTAGCCAAAGTTGGTTGCTTCAACATTGCAAATGAGACTTTGGGTGATTGCCCAGGTAGTCAGTTGTCTCTTTCATTTGTTGCACATTTTGGAAGTTTTTTGATTGCACTTCCTGTTTACTCAAGTAATATTGTTTCCCTTCTCAGATCTTCAATGGAGTTAAAGATTAGATAATTGTAGTTACCTTCCTCATGATTTAGCCAAGCTTAATTTCAATGCAATATTTAGACTCCTTGACATAGAATGTTTAGTAAAATTTTGTTTTGCGTTCCTTGCTTAATATTGTTTATTGTTTTTAATTTTATATTTGGTATCTGTACCTATTGTATATAGTCGTATTGGGTTTAGATAGATCATGTTTAGACAAAAGGTGGAAATTGTGGGGAATCTCTGTTAACCAATCACATCCAGTTAAGGTGTGGCTACCTGGAGCCCAGAAAGAAAAACTGGGAGGACCCAGATGCATGCTCTCTCTTGCTCTTGCTCTCTGCACAGCTCCTGCTAGATAGATAGGAAGTCGGACCTCCCACTCTTGTAGCATGAGTTTCCCCTTATAACCACTAAAATATAATTGTTATTCTTGAGCTGGCCTGGTTAGTTATTGTACTGACCTAATTTGCAACAGCACCCTTTGGGTTTATGTTCAAGAGTGGTAGAGCTGAATCTTGAGGTGGATCAATTCCCATCTCCTTCAGGTATAATTGCCACACTAGTTTCTACAGTGACTATAAAAGTTTGGACTCCCACCAACAATGCAAGAGTGGTCCCCTTGTTCCACTGACAGAAACCAGCCTTGAAAAAATACCTCTTGACAGGGTAGGGGCATAGGGATATAGAAATATAGTAAAGATATTCTCTATTTTGATTTTTCAGGTGGACTTATATATGTTTTTCCTAAGGTTCACCTTATTACTCAGCTTCTCTAAGATCATGAACTATAGACCCAATATCTTTTGTTTATAGCTAGTATCCACTTATGAGTGAATAAATATCTTATTCATCTTTTTGGGTCTGGGTTACCTCATTTAGTATAGTATTTTCTAGTTCCATTCATTCATTTGTATGAAAATTTCAAGATGTTATTTTTTTAACTTTTTTTTATTGAGAAAAGGAGAAAAAAAACAAGTTTCCCCCTCCTCCGAGCCTCCCATTTCCCTCCCCATCCTCCCACCCTTCTCCCCCTCCTCCCACCCTTCTCCCCCTCCCCCCACTCCTCTCCCCCTCCCTCTCTAGTCCAAAGAGCAGTCAGGGTTCCCTGCCCTGTGGTAAGTCCTAGGTCCTCCCCCCTCCGTCCATTTCTAGGAAGGTGAACATCCAAACTGGCTAGGCTCCCACAAAGCCAGCACATTACGTAGGTTCAAAATCCCATGCCATTGTCCTTGGCTTCTCATCAGCCCTCATTGTTCGGCATGCTCAGAGAGACCAGTTTTATCCCATGCTTTTTCAGTCTCAGTCCAGCTGGCCTTGGTGAGCTCCCAATAGATCAGCTCCACTGTCTCAGTGGGAGAGTGCACCCCACATGGTCCCGACTTCTTTGCTCATGTTCTCCCTCCTTCTGCTCCTCATTGGGACCTTGGGAGCTCAGTCCAGTGCTCCAGTGTGGGTCTCTGTCTCAATCTCCATCCATCACCAGATGAAGGTTCTATGATGATATGCAAGATATTCGTCAGTATTGCTATAGGATAGGGTCATTCCAGGTTCCCTATCCTCAGCTGCCCAAGGAACTAACTGGTGACCTCGGCTTGGGCATCTGGGAGCCACTCTAGATTCAAGTCTCTTGCCAACTCTAAGGTCGATCCCTTAACTAAGAATTGTGCTTTCATGCTCCCCTATCCAACCTTTCCTTTATCCCAATCCTCCTTTTTCCCCAAGTTCCCCCCATCCTCCCCTTCTCACTTTTTTCTCTCCATATCCCCTTACCCCCATCCCACCCCACCCCCAAGATCTCAATTTTCTTCCCGGCAATTTTGTCTACTTCCCATAGCCAAGAGGACAACTATATGTTTTTCCTTTGGTTCACCTTCTTACTTAGCTTCTTTGGGATCACCAATTGTAGACTCCGTGACCCATGTTAATGGCTAGAAACCAATTATGAGTGAGTACATCCCATATTCATCTCTTTGGGTCTGGGTTACCTCACTCAGGATAGTGTTTTCTATTTCCATCCATTTGCATGCAAAATTTGAGAAGTCCTTGTTTTTTACCGCAGCATAGTACTCTAATGTGTAGATATTCCACACTTTCTTCATCCATTCTTCCATTGAAGGGCATCTAGGTTGTTTCCAGGTTCTGGCTATTACAAATAATACTGCTATGAAAATAGTTGAACAAATGCTCTTGTCATATGATAGGGCATCTCTTGGGTATATTCCCAGGAGTGGTATTGCTGGGTCCAGGGGAAGGTTGATCCCGAATTTCCTGAGAAACCGAAACACCGATTTCCAAAGTGTTTGCACAAGATTGCATTCCCACCAGCAATGGATGAGGGTACCTCTTCCTCCACAGCCTCTCTAGCAAAGGGTATCATTGGAGTTTTTTATTTTGGCCATTCTGACAGGTGTAAGATGATATCTCAAAGTTGTTTTGATTTGCATTTCCCTGATCGCTAAGGAGGTTGAGCATGACCTTAAGTGTCTTTTGGCCATTTGAACTTCTTCTGCTGAGAATTCTCTGATCAGTTCAGTGCCCCATTTTTCAATTGGGTTAATTAGCATTTTAAAGTCTAGTTTCCTGAGTTCTCTATATATGTTGGAGATCAGACCTTTGTCTGTTGCGGGGTTGGTGAAGTTCTTCTCCCAGTCAGTAGGTTGCCTTTTTGTCTTGGTGACAGTGTCCTTTGCTTTACAGAAGCTTCTCAGTTTTAGTAGGTCCCATTTATTCAATGTTGCCCTTAATGTCTGTGCTGTTGGGGTTACACATAGGAAGCGATCTCCTGTGCCCATCTGCTGTAGGGTACTTCCCACTTTCTCTTCTATCAGATTCAATGTGTTCTGACTGATAGTGAGGTCTTTAATCCATTTGGACTTGAGTTTTGTGCATGGTGATAGATATGGGTCTCCTACTATTAGTGTGTGCGGTTTGAGGGCTGCCTTGAGTTTTAGCAATGTTTCTTTTATGTACGTGGGTGCTTTTATATTAGAGGCATAGATGTTCAGGATTGAGACTTCATCCTGATGAACTGTTCCTGTTATGAGTATAAAATGGCCCTCGCCATCTCTTCTGATTGATTTGAGTTTGAAGTCAACTTTGTTAGAAATTAGTATGGCCACACCTGCTTGTTTCTTAGCTCCATTTGCTTGATAAGCCTTTTCCCAGCACTTTACTCTGAGTAGGTGCCTGTCTTTGTGGTTGAGGTGTGTTTCTTG